AAATCAACATTAACTATAAGGTCACTATTAAACAGATGGAAGAAAAACGAAATATTTAACAGCAACCAACTCCTGTTCTGGAATCACAAAGCTGATTGCTGAAATTGTTTGTTTATATTCAGAAGGTGAAATAGCAGGAAATTGTTCACAAGCATATTCAGTGCCCGCCTCCATGTGAGTGCTACACATCCACCTTCCTACCAGGGGCACCCCACCCCTCCACGTCTAACTACTCACCAGGCTTACCCTCCCCCCCCCCCCCCCTCCAACTTCTTGACCTGCTCCATCCTACCTCGCTCACCTAGACGGCATTTTCACTTTTTCTTACATACACACACACACACACACACCAGCAGACCGACACCTACACGCAGACCCACACACACTCCCACAAATCACGTGGAGGGAGCACCTGAGCGGCAGTTGAAACTCTGGCTAAACCACGTGGGTTAAGCTTACCTGTGCTGGAACAATTGCTCGACTCAAAGAATGGAGGCTTTCAATAAACTTGGACCACCATTTATGATATTGGTAGACTCAAAGAATGGAGGCTTTCAATAAACTTGGACCACCATTTATGATATTGGTAGACTCAAAGAATGGAGGCTTTCAATAAACTTGGACCACCATTTATGATATTGGTAGACTCAAAGAATGGAGGCTTTCAATAAACTTGGACCACCATTTATGATATTGGTAGACTCAAAGAATGGAGGCTTTCAATAAACTTGGACCACCATTTATGATATTGGTAGACTCAAAGAATGGAGGCTTTCAATAAACTTGGACCACCATTTATGATATTGGTAGACTCAAAGAATGGAGGCTTTCAATAAACTTGGACCACCAATTATGATATTGGTAGACTCAAAGAATGGAGGCTTTCAATAAACTTGGACCACCATTTATGATATTAGTAGACTCAAAGAATGGAGGCTTTCAATAAACTTGGACCACCATTTATGATATTGGTAGACTCAAAGAATGGAGGCTTTCAATAAACTTGGACCACCATTTATGATATTGGTAGACTCAAAGAATGGAGGCTTTCCATAAACTTGGACCGCCATTTATGATATTGGTAGACTCAAAGAATGGAGGCTTTCAATAAACTTGGACCACCAATTATGATATTGGTAGACTCAAAGAATGGAGGTTTGTTTTGGGCTATAGGTTAGGCTAGTCGGAGTAAAGAATTGTGTTAGGCTAGTCGGGGTAAAGAATTGTGTTAGGCTAGTCGGGGTAAAGAATTGTGTTAGGCTATAGGTTAGGCTAGTCGGGGTAAAGAATTGTATTAGGCTAGTCGGGGTAAAGAATTGTGTTAGGCTAGTCGGAGTAAAGAATTGTGTTAGGCTAGTCGGGGTAAAGAATTGTGTTAGGCTAGTCGGGGTAAAGAATTGTGTTAGGCTATAGGTTAGGCTAGTCGGAGTAAAGAATTGTGTTAGGCTATAGGTTAGACTAGTCGGGGTAAAGAATTGTGTTAGGCTAGTCGGGGTAAAGAATTGTGTTAGGCTATAGGTTAGACTAGTCGGGGTAAAGAATTGTGTTAGGCTAGTCGGGGTAAAGAATTGTGTTAGGCTATAGGTTAGGCTAGTCGGAGTAAAGAATTGTATTAGGCTAGTCGGGGTAAAGAATTGTGTTAGGCTAGTCGGGGTAAAGAATTGTGTTAGGCTAGTCGGGGTAAAGAATTGTGTTAGGCTAGTCGGAGTAAAGAATTGTATTAGGCTAGTCGGGGTAAAGAATTGTGTTAGGCTAGTCGGGGTAAAGAATTGTATTAGGCTAGTCGGAGTAAAGAATTGTGTTAGACTAGTCGGGGTAAAGAATTGTGTTAGGCTAGTCGGAGTAAAGAATTGTATTAGGCTAGTCGGGGTAAAGAATTGTGTTAGGCTAGTCGGGGTAAAGAATTGTATTAGGCTAGTCGGAGTAAAGAATTGTGTTAGGCTAGTCGGAGTAAAGAATTGTGTTAGACTAGTCGGGGTAAAGAATTTTGTTAGGCTAGTCGGGGTAAAGAATTGTGTTAAGCTAGTCGGGGTAAAGAATTGTGTTAGGCTAGCCTAGTGTTTCCCTAAAGTCTAAGTCGCGTTTGAAACATTGCTAGATTACTTTTAACTTTTTCTAAGTCACCGTAAGTCAAAGTGATCAAATTGTGTTACATTGTAACATTATGACAACATGCATGGGGAGGGGAGGGTGCATCATTGTTTTTAAAGTCTGGGCATTGTACGCTATATTGGTCCATTTCCGGCAAGTTATGAAATATCTAAAGATTTTAATATTTCTCCTAGGTGTTGCATTAAATTCCTAGTCAAAGAATGTCAAGTGGTTTTAGGTCAACTATTTCTGATGTTTGTGTTATAAAAGTGTAGAGGGGTGCAACTGTCAACCTGATAAAGCTGCTAATTGTTGGTTTTGACTGTGTGCCCGCAATACGATAGGGTAATGCCCCACTCCCAACCTCCCCCCTCCAACCCGGTATCTTTTGTGGTTTGGTGCATTAAAATGTTACATAAAAGTTCGCACCGGAAACACCTTTCGGTCGTCAAACGACATCGAGGTGAACGGAAGGGGTAAAAACAAGACCAACTAGCACAGAGTTTCACCCAGGCATCTCTACCAGGCAAGTCTACCGTCCCCCTCCCCCCGAACGAAATTGAATTTTTATAGAAAATATATACTTTTAACCCCCCTCCGAAAATTTCAAGTCCCCCCCCCCCTCGGAGAAAAAGTCTGGAAGAAACACTGGACTAGTTGTTGATTATCTGACCCTATTGTACTCAATTCATAATGATGTCTCCCTCAAAGGCTTAATATACTTTCAGTGTTTCTTCCAGAATTTTTCTCTCCGGGGGGGCACTTGAAATTTTCGGGGGGGGGGGGCGGTAGACTTTCTTCGGGGGGCGGACACTGTTAAAAGTATATATTTTCTATATAAATTATATAAATTTCATTTCGTTCGGGGGGGGCGGTAAAAAAATTTCGGGGGGGGGGGGGGGGGGGCTTAGCCCCCCCCCCCCCCCCCGAAGAGATGCCTGGAAGAAACTCTGTATACTTTCTCATATGAACATATTATGTAAGGCTAAATATATCTTCTCTAATGAACATATTATGTAAGGCTAAATATACTTTCTCATATGAACATATTATGTAAGGCTAAATATATCTTCTCTAATGAACATATTATGCAACGCTAAATATACCTTCTCATATGAACATATGTAAGGCTAAATATACCTTCTCATATGAACATATGTAAGGCTAAATATACCTTCTCTTATGAACACATTCGCGTAATGTGAACAGCAAATTCATAATGTTAAAGATACAGAGGCGTAGTAAGGGGAGGGGTGGGGGGAGGGCGGGGGTACATATGTCCCTGTACGCCGACCCTAGGGGGCGCCAAAATGGGTTGGAAAAAAATTAAAAGCTCATTTTAGCTGCAGTTTTGCATTATAAATATAAAAATTATATGGGGGGGGGGCAAATAGAATATTTGTCCCCGGGCTGCGGAAGGGTCGCTTCGTCTCTGTAAAGATATATATATATATATTATGTATATATATATGTATATATATGTATATATATATATATATATATATATATATATATATATATATATATATATATATATATATATATATATATGATCTAATAATTCAGTTTTGTGTGCTGGAGATGTTTAAGATACCAAAATATATCAGATCTTCTCATGTTCTTCAACATCTTCTCATGTTCTTCAACATCTTCTCATGTTCTTCAACATCCAACATCATTTCATATTTTTCTAATCCTGACAGGTTTCCCTTAGAGAGTTCACTTGCTGGCCGATGTCCAAAATCAAGAAATATGTTGGACGTTGGATATAACGGGCAAACTCGAAGCTGTCCAATGATTGTTTCGGCAGGACATTTTGCGCATTGGCCATTATCACCTTCCATTAACTGGCCAATGTCCGAAAATGTTCTTGATTTCGGACAAAGGCCGGCAGTTTTGCAAACATGCCGAGGACGACCGACTAATGTCTGAATTAGAAGATCATGAGATTTCGATTCAATTGAATTTAAATTCTTAACCTTCGCCCTGATGAAATTCTTTTTTTTTCCTAGCCCTAATCCTAATTTAAATATAATGCATTAAATAATACTTTCGCGCTTAAAAAAACAACAACAATACTATACCTAGCTATCCTCAGTTAAGAATCCGAAACGTTCTAATAGCTGTCGCACTCTCTACTCGATATTCGATCCAAACAATTCTATTTACAATTGTGTAAAATTAGTCCAAAAAAAATCTTTCAGCGCAAATTTCTCTTGCAGCATTTTCTATGGGCGCATAGTTCTGTTTAGTTTATGCGTTTTTCTATATGCGCATTTTCCCGTGAACCAATAGTAGCATCAGATGAAGAGGCAATGCAGAATGTAATGAATAAAAACAGAAACATAATAGTTTCTGTAGTTGGCAAGCATTTTACAGTGCCGTTAATCACTGTCATGTGACGTCACATTTTGTATCCCAGTCGTTACACAACGTCATAACAATCACCCCACCCCCCGCCCCCCCCCGCACTCCCCATTAAAGTCTGTCATACCCACCCTTAATTTTTATAAGAAACTATAGTTAACACCTATAATGGTTCTGTAAGAAACAATAATTCTAATGAATAAAACACTTGAAAGTACAAATTTTACAAGCTATAGCGGAATAAAAATATGTATCCATGAAAGGGACGTCAGTTTACAAGGGACGTCAGTTGACATGAAAGGGACGTCAGTTTACAAGGGACGTCAGTTTACAAAAGGGACGTCAGTTTAGAAGGGACGTCAGTTTACAAGGGACGTTAGTTTACAGGAAAGGGACGTCAGTTTACAGGAAAGGGACGTCAGTTTACATGATAGGGACGTCAGTTTACAAAAGGGACGTCAGTTTAGAAGGGACGTCAGTTTACAAGGGACGTTAGTTTACAAGAAAGTTAACTTGACTTGGAAGCTGGAGAGTTTTTTTACCTGCGAGTTGAAGGATTTAGGCTCTGGGGAATCCCACACTGTGATGACGTAATCTAGCACCATGCCTAACTCAAGTAAAACAATGCAACTGGTACCAAATTGTTTGACTTCTTTGTTGCCATCAGAACCGATAAACATGTGAAGACACCTCTATGGGGGTGTATCCAGTCAGATCTAGTAAACATGTGAAGACACCTCTATGGGGGTGTATCCAGTCAGATCTAGAAAACATGTGAAGACACCTCTATGGGGGTGTATCCAGTCAGATCTAGTAAACTTGAAAAGGCACCTCTATGGGGGTGTATCCAGTCAGATCTAGTAAACATGTGAAGACACTTCTATGGGGGTGTATCCAGTCAGATCTAGTAAACATGTGAAGACACCTCTATGGGGGTGGATCCAGTCAGATCTAGTAAACATGTAGACACCTCTATGGGGGTGGATCCAGTCAGATCTAGTAAACATGTGAAGACACCTCTATGGGGGTGGATCTAGTCAGATCTAGTAAACATGTAGACACCTCTATGGGGGTGGATCCAGTCAAATCTAGTAAACATGTAAAGGCACCTCTAAGGGGGTGTATCCAGTCAGATCTAGTAAACATGTGAAGACACCTCTATGGGGTGTATCCAGTCAGATCTAGTAAACATGTGAAGACACCTCTATGGGGGTGTATCCAGTCAGATCTAGTAAACATGTGAAGACACCTCTATGGGGGTGTATCCAGTCAGATCTAGTAAACATGTAGACACCTCTATGGGGGTGGATCCAGTCAGATTTAGTAAACATGTGAAGACACCTCTATGGGGGTGTATCCAGTCAGATCTAGTAAATGTGAAGGCACCTCTATGGGGGTGTATCCAGTCAGATTTAGTAAACATGTGAAGACACCTCTATGGGGGTGTATCCAGTCAGATCTAATAAACATGTGAAGACACCTCTATGGGGGTGTATCCAGTCAGATCTAGTAAACATGTAAAGGCACCTCTAAGGGGGTGTATCTAGTCAGATCTAGTAAACATGTGAAGACACCTCTATGGGGGTGTATCCAGTCAGATCTAGTAAACATGTAGACACCTCTATGGGGGTGTATCCAGTCAGATCTAGTAAACATGTGAAGACACCTCTATGGGGGTGTATCCAGTCAGATCTAGAAAACATGTGAAGACACCTCTATGGGGGTGTATCCAGTCAGATCTAGTAAACATGTGAAGACACCTCTATGGGGGTGTATCCAGTCAGATCTAGTAAACATGTAGACACCTCTATGGGGGTGGATCCAGTCAGATTTAGTAAACATGTGAAGACACCTCTATGGGGGTGTATCCAGTCAGATCTAGTAAATGTGAAGGCACCTCTATGGGGGTGTATCCAGTCAGATTTAGTAAACATGTGAAGACACCTCTATGGGGGTGTATCCAGTCAGATCTAATAAACATGTGAAGACACCTCTATGGGGGTGTATCCAGTCAGATCTAGTAAACATGTAAAGGCACCTCTAAGGGGGTGTATCCAGTCAGATCTAGTAAACATGTGAAGACACCTCTATGGGGGTGTATCCAGTCAGATCTAGTAAACATGTAGACACCTCTATGGGGGTGGATCCAGTCAGATTTAGTAAACATGTGAAGACACCTCTATGGGGGTGTATCCAGTCAGATCTAGTAAACATGTAAAGACACCTCTATGGGGGTGTATCCAGTCAGATCTAGTAAACATGTGAAGACACCTCTATGGGGGTGGATCCAGTCAGATCTAGTAAACATGTGAAGACACCTCTATGGGGGTGTATCCAGTCAGATCTAGTAAACATGTGAAGACACCTCTATGGGGGTGGATCCAGTCAGATCTAGTAAACATGAAATCCTTACTACACTCGTCCAATACCTAGACCAACCAGGCAAGACTCGCAGTGATTGGTTTTTATCATCGACAAAACCGACGTGCATGATAACATAAGAATTCAACCACTCCAGAGTTTTATCTTGAACAGTCGAGAGTGAACTACTGGTATAAACACACGACTTTGCTTGGTATTACATCATAATTAAAAGAATATAAATACATATTATCCGCAGTCCACATATAGAGGAATAAAACATGATGATATCCACAGTCCATATATCCTTACTGTGTACATACAGGAATAAGACATGATGTTATCCACATATCCTTACAGTGTACATACAGGAATAAGACATGATGTTATCCACATATCCTTACAGTGTACATACAGGAATAAGACATGATGTTATCCACAGTCCACATAAAGAAAAAGAAGCTAACGTGCAAGTGGAAGAAATGCCTAGCCTTGCTGGTCTCATTGTTAGAAATAAAAACAAGCTTATCAGAGCGCCGAGACATGCCCCCGCCTAGGGCAGGCTAGGGGAGGGGCGGTGGGGTAGGGGATGACGGTGAGAAGGTAGATATTTAAATTTCATAAACTAAAACGCCAGAACGTTGGTCAAACGACACGCGGTAAACACATTGGTCAAACAATTACACGGGTTCAACACATTTGTCAAACAATTACACGCGGTCAACACATTGGACAAACATCTACACGCGGTCAACACATTGGTCAAACAACTACACGGGGTCAGCACATTGGTCAAACAACTACACGGGGTCAACACATTGGTCAAACAACTACACGGGGTCAACACATTGGTCAAACAACTACACGGGGTCAACACATTGGTCAAACAACTACACGGGGTCAACACATTGGTCAAACAACTACACGGGGTCAACACATTGGTCAAACAACTACACGGGGTCAACACATTGGTCAAACAACTACACGGGGTCAGCACATTGGTCAAACAGCTACACGCAGTCAACACATTGGTCAAACAACTACATGCAGTCAGCACATTGGTCATAACCTACTGACACCGTACCTATGGTAACAACATCCACATAGCCTGCTAAACCCGCCTCTGGACTAAATGTTCTATTATTTGTGTTATTGAATTGAGGCGAGCTTATAACATGTTCTTTTTCTTTTTAACAAGATTTTTGTCAAAACCTGGGGCGGTGAGAGAGTTATATTCATACGCCAAGGTCAACTGGGTTTCCGGTAAAACAAGTGCGTCTTGAACAATGAGATCATCTTCTAAATTGGGATACCACTAGTCACATGAACTACATCTGACGTCATCAGCAAGCACACGGAGATAACTCTAAAGCTCATCACTTTCACCTTGTGAAACATCGCTTAACTCCCCTTGTGTTATCGATCTTTTGGAGACGCTAAGTCCATTTTCTATTACAATCGTAACGACAAAAAAAAAAAAAAACGGTCACATTACTTAGTAGCTACATGTAAAGTCTGCCGTAAGACAATAAAAAAAGATTGGTTAGTTAGATTTTCAGGGTTTTTTATGTCAGTTACTAAGCATACTATTTAATGTGGAAAAATAATTTTAAAAAATTAAACAATTTTATTGTCAGCTATTTACTACAAAGAATAAACCGGGAGTGATCTCCCCTAAACTTTCTCGAATATTCTTATATAACTTGGAATATAGACATGATTTTTAACTACTTAAACCTTTAAAAATAGAATAGAATCTCATAGAAAAAAGAATTGCGCACCAAAGGAACGCCAAAACTAAATGTGCATAATAGTGCGCAATATTAATTTATTATTAGTACTTTATAAATTTACATGCGTTTTTTTGAGAAATCGGAAATAGCGTAAATTAGTACTTTCGGTCAACGGAAATAGCTCAAAATTGGACAGAAGGTAGAGAATTAGATCTTTTACTTACATGTGAAATTTCATTTAACTATCTGAAATAGTACTCAAGTTATAGGCTTTTGAAAAACTCAAAGTAGAAAAAGTACCACTTCCGGTTATCGGAAATCGCTCAAAAGTTGATCAGGATCTACGATTTTGATAAAATACATATATATGAAATTTCATCAACCTAGCTGTAACGGTACTCAAGTTATCGTGTTTACACACAGACAGACATACAGACAGACACACAGACAGACACACAGACATACGGACAAGATTGCAAAATTATGTTTTTCCGTATCAGTGAGGTGTAAAACGTCGAGATTTGTAAAAATCTCGATATTTTTTTTTTTTTGCACGATTACAAGACTTTCTCTATACTTCGTATATACGAGAAAGTAAAAAAAAAAACAAAACAATATTGTTTAAGCGATAACGTCCCTTAATCCACCCAGCTCTATATGAACTCTACTATATGCACCATTCAGATTCGAAAAGAAAGTTCTTAAATTTGTTGTGAAATGTTTATAAATAAAAGTGTATAAGTATATAAGTGTTTGTAAATATAACAATTTTACGTTCTTAAAATTGTTGTGAGATGTAAATAAATAAAAGTGTATAAATATATAAGTGTTTGTAGACTTTAACATCTCACGTTCTGCTGGCTATAGTACTCAAACATATATTTAATTTTTTAAGTCAAAAATAACGTTTATAACAACAAGTTTTTATTTGTGTACACAAAACAGAAGAAAGTCAACTGACAGTAGGTTACACTATATGCAGCTATGGTCATTTTAAAAACCTGAGAAGAATTGTATGATTTGAGAAATCTTGACCACAAGTGTCTCAGTTTTATCAAACGTATCACCTCATTCAGCTTGATAACAAATGTCTGCACAAACAGGACACTAATTATTCACAAAACTTGTCGAAACTTGTCGACAAAACTTGACAAAACTGGTCGACAAAACTTGACAACACTGGTTGACAAAACTTGACGAAACTGGTTGACAAAACTTGACGAAACTGGTCGACAAAACTTGACAACACTGGTCGACAAAACTTGACAACACTGGTCGACAAAACTTGACAACACTGGTCGACAAAACTTGACAAAACTGGTCGACAAAACTTGACAACACTGGTCGACAAAACTGGTCGACAAAACTTGACAACACTGGTCGACAAAACTTGACAAAACTGGTCGACAAAACTTGACAACACTGGTCGACAAAACTTGACAAAACTGGTCGACAAAACTTGACAACACTGGTCGACAAAACTTGACAAAACTGGTCGACAAAACTTGACAACACTGGTCGACAAAACTTGACAACACTGGTCGACAAAACTTGGCAAAAC